CATGAGTTGTATTCATTTTATGATATACAGTATATCATTTAATTCTTGTGGTCAAATTTTCAGTTTGAATATTAATACAGGTAAAACTATAATTTTTAAAAAGTTTTAGTAAATAGTAAGTTTAAAAAGTCTAGAAACTATTTAAAGAAACACACATGATATCATGAACTTGGTTCACGATAAATCCACCAAGGCGACCACGAAAATTTCAGGTCATAGGACTAAAGATCCTTTTTAAAATTCTAGCGAAGATTTTCAATAACCATCTAATACGCACTGTTAGTTATTGAAAAACCTTCGCTTAAAGTTTAAAAAAATTATATCAAAAAAGATTAGGTAAATTTTACTTCAAAACTTTACATGAAGATTTCTTAACAACTACCAGTTCAATTTGATGAAAAATTTTCTTATTTTAATTCTAGATTTGTAGAATTAAAATAAAAAATTATATTCAATTTTATCAGGTACTTATCGAGTAATATTCATTTTAATATAGAAAAACAAATTTAATCGCAGCTTCTTTTTGATGGGCATTTAACTTTGAACGAAGATTTTTTGATATCAAATTATATGAAATTTTTTAAAATAAAAAGAAAATCTTGGTTCGAAGTTAAACGTCCATCAAAAAGAAGCCATGGTTAAAAATTTTTTTTCTATATTACTCGACAAGTACATGATCAAATTAGATAAAAGAATTTTTAATTCTTAAGTTATAGAATTAATATAAAAAAATTTCATCAAGTTTGCACTGTTAGTCATTGATAAACTTTTGTCTGAAATTTTAAAAATTAGAATGTCTTAGGAAAAATGATTAATTTTCCTTCTTTAAAATCTTTACATGAATATTTCTCGACAACTACTGGTCAAAATTCGAGGAAAATTTGTTTATATTAATTCTATAAACTTGTAGAATTTAAATAAAAAAATTCATTAACTTTGATCGGGTACTTATTTAATTTTTGATTAAAATAGAAAAAAAAATTTGGCCGTAGCTTCTTTTTAATGGACATTTAACTTGAGCGAAGATTTCTCAACAAATACCTGATAAAATTATATATATATTTGATTTAATGCTATAAACTTATAGAATTAAAATAAAAAAAATTTTAATATAATTTGGTCAGGTAATTATTGAGAAATTTCCGCTCAAAGTTGAATGTCTGTTAAAAAGAAGCTGCAGCCAAAATTTACTTTAAGACATTCTAATTTTTTAAGCCTTCAAGCGAAGATTTCTCAATAACTAACGGTGAAAATTCGGTGAAATTTTTTTCATTTTAATTCTATGAAGTTATAGAATTAAATAAGAAATTTTTATTGGATTCAGTTAAATATATTAAGAAACCTTCGCTAGAAGTTAAAAAAAGTTCAATCATTTAAAAAAAATCTCGGTCACATGACCCGAAATTTTTGTGGTCGCCCTGGTGGATTCTTCGTTCACGATACAATAGAAGAAACTCCCATGTGATATCATGAACTTTGTTCACGATACAATAAAAGAAACTCACATGAGATATCGTAGAACATGGTCCATGATGATCGAAGAGATGATAACTTATTAAAATTTGATATATAATTACGTAAAAAATGGTAGGTCATTATAAATTTACTTAGGCATACATACGAAATTACAATTGCCTTTAGAGCTTATCTCGTTAAATCCAGGTCAGTATTATATACTTAGATTATTATATAATTGTTAGAGTTACGTATATTATTATGGTATATATATATATATTTAAAAAAAAAAGCGATGTAAATAATTAAGATAAAAAAAAAAACACCATGTTCGCCTTAAAAATTTTTTTACAAAAAATCATCAACAACGAACCTAATAATTCCGATATATGTATAATCTGTCAAGACAGCATTTTATCAAACATAATTGATTCTATCACTATACTTAACTGCCATCATATTTTTCACTATGATTGCATTTTTGGTTATCATATGCAAGATTATCGCCCTAGTATTTGTCCTATTTGCCGTAATGAAAATGTACGAAATACAATATCAAACGTTTCAGCAAGTAGCTCTACCGAAGCACAAAATATAGAATATGATGAAAATAGACGCAACTTATTATCTTCGCAATATGAAGGAAATGAACATTATAAAGTAAATGAACCTTACGAAAGAAATGGTAATTCTGAAGGCGAAAATGAAGTTGTAAATGAAGAAGGGAGTGAGAATGGAAATGAACATGAGGACGAAAATGATGAGGCTGAAAATGAGAGTAATGGTGAATCAACTGCAAACATCCGGATTGATCAAAAAGTCCAAGAATTTATAAACGAAATTACAAATCCAGACATTGACGAAATGGAAACAGATGAAGAGGATGAGATGGAAATGGAGGAAGAAATGAGTGATAATGGGCAAACAATAAGCCTACAAATGTTGTTGCACTTGTATGATCATGCATGTAAAGCGGAAAAAAAAAAAATCAAAATCAAAAGAGAAATAATCAAATGGTGGTACAAGTATGGTGAAAACTTCGAACGTAAACTTACAGAAATAGTGTCTAGTAATAGAATTTCTAAAAAAAAGGCAACAACTAGACTTTATGATGAATTGGAAAGACTTCGACCAGGTGTTAGTCGGGATAATTTAAGAAAACGAACCGAAAAATCTACAAAAGTATATTTTTTATTTTTACACATTGGAGTAGAAAAAATTCAACATATTAGCAAATTTAGCGCGGATAAGATATCTAAATTTACTTGGAATCAAATACATTTTATTGTAGATCATTTTAATCAACAATAAAATGTATAAACGATGCTTATTATGTTTCTTTTTTTTTTTTGATAATAAATATGTATATAGATGTCTAGCTTTATATTTTCTTTCTTTTTTTTTTTGAGAATAAATAAAATATATATACAATGCTTAGCTTTATATATATCTCTTTCAAAGTATTAATAAAAAATGTCGGAAGAGCAATTTTACTTTAACTAAATATTCAAAACCATATGAATGGACATGGCTTTAGACGCCCCCATAAAAGTATAAAACAATAACTGAATAAAGTCATCTGACCTCGTCCTGTTTGTAATTAAACCGATATGCACTTACAGTATTTTCGAAGATCTGCTAGAGTTAATAAAAGAGATTAGATAAGTATTAATATTATGTAAAGCTTTAATTAGTAATGTGTTTTTGGATTTTTTAGTATACAGTACGTACTGTCTGCTATGTAAATCCTATGAGAAATTTTTCGTGTATCAACAGCGAAAATCTATAGTAAAATACCAGATTTTTTAATAAATTTTTAAATTAATAAAAAATCACTTTATTTTTTTTTTTTAAATATAGATATTATTGAGTAACTTCCAAACAAATTAATATGTAAGTTACGAAAGAGATACAATTCAAAGTCATATAGTTGTCTATATGACTTTAAATAGTTTCTCTTTCATAACTTACATATTAATTTGTTTGGAAGTTACTCAATAATATCTATATTTAAAAAAAAAAATAAAGTGATTTTTTATTAATTTAAAAATTTATTAAAAAATCTGGTATTTTACTATAGATTTTTGCTGTTGATACATAAAAAATTTCTCATATAAGATTATTTCTGATCACCTATTAACCTGATGCTTTTCTGAACCAGATAGTAACACCATATTTTGTGGAATAAAATGCATCACTTATATCACAAATTCTTGATTTGTGATATTGAGAAGCCCAATTTTTTCTATTATTTCTTAATTTATAAATAGATAACAGCTTTCCTTTTTATAACTAATATAAAATTTTCTGATAGCATGTTAACGTGATGGGCTTGATAAGGTCATTTTCATTATCATTTAGAGTATTAATTAGCATAATACTATGCTAGATATCACATTGACATGCTATATATTAAAAATATATGCATGTAAACGAACAAATTTGACTTCAATAAAGCCAGAGCTTTTCCTCTTGATTTTATACTAAGAACAAGAATCGTTTAAAGCCAGATAGTAATTTATACTCATCACATAATTTTTAATTTATAAATTTGTTAGTAATCAATTTAAAAACTATCTGGCTTTAGACGATCTCTATGAATAGAAAAGGAAGTAGGTTAGTAAAGTGTCGAAGAGATCTTTATATTATTAAAATCGAATACTTAACTTTCTTGCATATTATTTCGATCATCTTGTCACATGATTAATTGTTCATTTTGACTAATCTCGTATTTTCTGCTACTTAATATTTGATATGATACCTCTTTTCTATCCGCATATCTCATTTCTTCCTGTAGCTTTTAGAGCTAAATCAACTCATTTATTTAACCCTCCTGAGTTAATAGTTATACTACGTAGCATAATACTCTTCCTTTTTTAGAAATCTTGATGTGCTACGTATGTATGTATTAATCATCAAAATAGCTAACAAAATAGCAAATTGGTGATCATACTCGGTCCATGTATCAATAAGTTTTTACTTAAAATCTTTGTATTTTTGGATGCTACGTATAAATAGTATATATTTTATATAAATTGAATATTCACGATTATACAATATTTAATACTGTAGATGATATAAGAAATCTGACAATATTTTATTTGCATTTTATTTTTCTACGTAATAAAGTTTAATTCTTAGCAATAGTTATTTTTATTTCATAACTATATATAAATTGCATAATACATAACTATTTTTTTTTTAAGCATAAAATATATATCATACGAAAAAATATATATTAATTTACTTTAAAAGAGTATATCAAAGATAACACCTCTTACGGAAATAGCATATTTAACAGTCCAAGAGCTCTCGAACTGGTAATGATTCGACTACTCCAAGCTTAGTTGGTATTTTCAAATCAATAGTATATTCATCATGCTTTCTAATAACATTTTGTGTATTCTTGTTTTTATCTTGAGCAATAAGAATAGCTTTAGTGATTTGGCGTACAAAAACACCAAGTTTTATATAAGTTTCACGATCTTGTTTTAATTTTGTTTGATCAGTCGCTTGTATATGCATTTTTAATAATTGCTTCCATACTTCATCAGAAACAAATTCATCCAATTCATCATATGGTTCCTTTGCACTATTTATTAATTTATTTGATTAGTATAAAAGAACAATTATTATTATTTATTATGTTGCTATTACGAACCTTTCATTAGTTGATCTAAATTCATTTGCCAAGTTTATTAATGCAATATGAAATTTGTGCCGATATGAATTATACCATCCACCAATGTCTTTAACCAAAGATCCTAGTCTTCGATCAGTTTTTGAAATTTTGCTAACTTTTGTAATTAATTCTTCGTATAATACCGTAGTATTATTTCGAGTTCGGAGGAATAGAGCTTTACATTCTTCCTGTAATTGGAATTTAATATACTAAATTTAAATTAAAAGTTAGTAGAATTATTATATGGTTTTATAAAATAAAAAAAATGCTATATCTTACTTGATCAATTTCAGGAAGTTTTGATACAGGTTCATTTAATATAGTATCAGTAGATGTTGAAGTTGAATTATCCTCTTCATCTACTCTTGTCAACTTCGCTTTTCTAATATTAGTCGCTAAATCTAAGATTCTTTTTTGATGTGCCAACCACCAAGCAATTTCAAACTCATTATTAAATTGTTGAAATTGTGCCGGCTGTTTCAAAGTTAGATTATCTGCTAATAAATTAAAAAATATCAGGATTATTTGTTATAATCGTTGCTTTTTATTAATATATACCTGAGGAAGAAACTTGAAATGTAGTAATATCATCGTTGTTTGTTAGCAAAGGAGGCGTATTAATATTATTATCATCATTCGTCAGTAAAGAAGATGTATTAAAATTATCATTATTTTGTATCAATGAAGAAGTTGGATAATGTGTATCAGTACTATCATTTTCATCAGCAAACAAAGAACCTAGAGATGCATCATCAGGTTCATTATCTGAAGAAAAATCTACAGTATTATTATTCTTTTCATGATGCGTTATAATTGCAATATTATTATTGCTTTGTTCTTTATTACTTTGTTCTTTATCGCTTTGAATTGTTTGACTTGATTGAAGCGATGATTCATTAGACAGTACCTTATTATAGATATATTGTTAGCATTCAGTTTTTTTTGTTACTATATTCATTAATTTAAATTTTTTTTTATATCTAAACTTACAATAGGGCTTGTGATATTATTTTTTTGTTTTTTATTGGATCTTTGTGTTTTATTGGTAGCTGGACTTTGATTATCTAAAAATATTATGTTAGATAATACAGTACTAGAGAAAAATCAAATAATTTATATAAATACTTGATTTCTTTTTGCTAGCAGCTTCTTTTGGCGTTTTCAATTCTATTAAAAATATTAAAAATTAGTTAAAATAAATCATCAGTAATTTCAAGAGCTTTTTTTTTCTTACCAAATTTTCGTTTAGCATTAGGCATGTTTGATATAGATTAACAGTGTCGCAGCAATATATGTCTACTTAAAAATATGTTCTTTTTCGTATCTTTTTTTTTTCAAGATATATTGTGCTTGGAAGTTTGTTCACCTATGTTCGAACCTTCTCTTATTTATATTTTTATGCATCTGTCAAAAATCAACTATTTACATTATTACAATAATATATGATTAGCTGTTACCATGTGCTATGATAAGTCTATTTCGAATGCATGAAAATTATATTGCTTTCGAATTATATTTTATGCATCTGTCAAAAATAAACTATTTATATCATTACAATAATATATGATTAACTGTTACCATGTGCTAGCGATAAGTCTATTTCGAATGCATGAAAATTATATTGCTTTCGAATTATATTTTATGCATCTTTCAAAAATAAACTACAGGTATTTACATCATTACAATAATATATGATTAACTGTTACCATGTGCTAACGATAAGTCTATTTCGGATGCATGAAAATTATATTGCTAGATATATTAGTCATTTAAAAGTCTACTACAGATTCATCTTATACGAATCTATTTATAATATTACTCTAATAACTCTAAAACATCATATTATATCATTAAGAATTTACTGATTTTATATTTATTATAAACACGTGAACCTAGTTCACGATCATTATTTCTAATTCGATTATAATTTTAAAAAGGTATATATCTAGCAGTTATTAGCCGGCTAATCAAGCTATCAGCCAGCTAAGCGGCTAAGCAACTAATTAAATGGCTGGTTTAATCAGCTTGAAACACTACTTGAAATACTAACAGTAATATTATTAGCCATTATCAGCCGGCTGATCAACTATCAGCCAGCTAAGCGGCTAAGTAGCTAGCTTAGTCAGCTTGAAGCACTAATATTATTAATTAATGAATATATAATATTACTCTAAATTATTTCTAATAATTCTAATAAATTCCTCTATTATGTCATCAAGTCTCTTAACGATTTTACAATTATTGTAAACATGCGATATTGTGAACCTAGTTCACAATCATTATTTTAATTATGCATGATTTTAGTAATAATGGTATGACATAGTTAATTATGCATAATTATCATTGCAATTCCTCGTCACATATAGTTTGTAGTAGCTAAAAAAAAGCTTAACGAGTTACTTATATATATGACAAATCGAAAGTAAATAAAAGAGAAATAAGATCGATAAAGTTTTTTTTTTTTTTGTCAGCACCTGCTAACTAACATTACATTGACTAATAAGCGAAAGATATATTATTCATAATATTACTATAATAATAATGAAGCGTTCAAATAGAACTACTCGTGCATATGTACCAATGCCAAAATTGCGTATTAAATCTAAAAACAAATTGGAAAATGCCAAGA